TGACTGTAGACAAGTTGAAAGTGATTCAAACTGTGGAAGAAGTATTATGATCATGCCCTCGACATCACCACATTTAGAACACCCCAAGGCTGGCATAGTCTCCAGCACAACTGGGGACAACACAACCAGAGAGTGAAGCTGACCATTCACGTCCATCTAGTGCCAAGACCTTTGACATACAGAGCCTTACCTCACATCCCCTACATTCCTTCATGGTAAAAAACTTGAGAAAAATGGTAACACAATAAACTACACACCTTTTGGGGCGGAGCAAAGAATTTCTTTATCACAATTATTTGTGGCAGAGTCAAAAAGACTGCAAACTTCTACAATGACTGCCAAAAGAGCAATATTTGATTGCGCACTAGATGGAGGTGGTTAGCCAGCATCAAGCCCTAGCCACTTGGGGCTTGGGAGAAAAGCCCCTGATACCCACTGCACAGGAGGCGAGTTTCCTTACAGCCAGTCTGGATGCTGTGGAGAAGAGAAAAAAAAATCTCTTGGCCCTGCCAGGAACTGAAGCTTGATTCCTTCATTGTCCAGCTCATGGCACAGTCACAATACTGAATGAGCCACCCTGGCTCTTGTTATATCTCCAAGTTTTAAATTAAATTTTACATTCAAAAATATTTTTCTTCGTGCCTTTATGGACTACATGCAGCTACATAAAGCAGTCCCATGAATGATGGAAATGAGTGCACTTTAAGTTTCCAAATTATTTTCCTAATGTTATGCTTTCCTCTGGCCTATGTCAATCAGACCAAACTACTTATCACTAGCGAAAGTTATCAATTCCAACATATATGTGAACCAAACAGCTAGATATCTAAAGGGGGGGGGGGAAGTATGTTGCAGAAGGAAGTGTAACATCTAGCGAAATATGTGAATACAATCAATCCATAGGACTTTCCTTGGCCTCAGTGCAAGAAAATTAATGCCTGTACCATCTTAAAAATTCTCTTGTCCACATTTCCATCTTCCTCTTACTATCTTCCCTGTAGATTTGTAATTTCTGCTATTCTCAGCAACCTGTTCTCACCCATTTCTGCACAGTCTTTCCCTCTCTTCTTACATGCATTAAAATTTCTTTAATTGTGCATGTGCATGTGCGCGCACTCGTCTACTTACTTAGATGAAAATGTCTTGGTATGAGCTATCATGGTAATTAAATATGTAACACCTAAACAAGGTTTCAAGTTTGAGCTGTATCACATTGCACCTTTTTCCCCATTCATGATGTTTATCCTGAGCATGGCAATTGCAATGTTCACTGGAAGAATGGATGAATTTCAAGAAAGTGGCTCAAACCCGAAAGCCAATTTTATACTTAATATACTGGCCACAACAGCTTAAGAAGAATAAGTCATGTGTAGGGGGGTACACATGACAAAAATAATGGGTTCCAGATTGGATAATTGGATTTATTAGCACTTTGGTTACAAGTTCCCTTAATCACACTTACTTCAGCGCTATTGCTCATTTACACACTTTCCAGTTCACCAGTGCACACGCACTAGGATTCTCTGTCTTCACTAGTCGTCTCCTGGCAATGTTCAGGACAGAAACTATCATTTCAAACCACTATAAAGTTTTTTTCTTTTTCTTGTTCAATCATCCTGGAACCTTGGAACTCAACTAAAACTCTGCTTAGCTGCAAGTGGACTTGCATTATATATCCGTGGCACAGACAATGCAGAAAACACAATTCTACAGCAAACCACACAGAAAACACAATTCACATGATAGCTAAGGACTGTTGGGGTGTGACATCATTGTGCAGGGCCACAAAGAAGACAATGTTGCTGTATTGTTGACATCAACACATATATTTAAGTGTGTTTACTGAGCCGTATCCTATAAATATGTTGCATAATCCCACTGTTCTACTGTTGTGTGCATGTACTACTTAGCAGCAGCCATTTATGTGGCCCAACCATTCTTGCACGGAGCAAATATGCCACAGTATATAAGAACAGATGCTTTAAGAGATTTCATAAAAAGTGAGACAAGCAAATGTTTTTTATTAAATCCTTTCTGACACTCTCAATAATTCAGTCTGAAAATCGTGGAACTTATTTCCTTGCATGAGACCTGAGGTCCTCATCACATTGAATATTAAGATTACAGTCCTCGGGGATGTGATGCCATCTATAGTAAGTTCAAAAAGACATAAGCTATGGCCTTGAGATGTCCAGTAGCTTTCCTGCCCAAACAGAGATTGGCAGGTAAGCAGAGCTCAGAGCTCAGTTGCTGTAACTGAGTCAACATCATGTGCTGAGTTCCATTTCAATATAATTAGCCCATTTAATAATTAGGCCTCTCACCTTCACACACCTAGGGCCACGCCATAGCTCAAGTGGTTAGTCACTGGCTTTCCACCACAGCGGTCTGGGTTCAAGCCCAGGCCTGGTCAAGTGAGATGTGTGGTGGACGAAGTGGCGCTGGGGTGGGTTTTCTCCAAGTACTTCGGTTTCCCCTGCCAATCTTCATTCCACCAAATTCTCCAACATCATAATCACACAGGGCAGTTACAATAGGCCAATCAGTGGCCGCCATGCCGAATGGACCCAGTTGGACTCCACCCCCCCACTAAGAGAATTCACACAGCTCAGGGCTCATGTCCTACTGAACACCTTGTAGTTTGGCACAAACAAGATACTAAGATTTTGGAGGAACCTCCTGTCTCCATCGTCATGTATTCTCCCAAGAATATGGAGACAGGAGGTTCCTCCAACTCTGGTACCTATCTACCAAAAACATGGCTTCCTATACATACCAGAGGACTGAATATTAAAATCATATTCCTGTCCAATGCTGGAGTCAGTCTTAACAACAATAAAATTAAAAACAATAAATTTTTACTGGCCTTGGAGACTGTGCAAGTGTTCCAAGTAAGAAACTTAAAGGGGGTCTCTATCGGATTTGTTTCCAGCCAGTGTAGAGCACATTCCAACAGTTTTCAAATTCAAGCAAAACAAATCAGACCCTGTAGAATACCACACATTAAAATACATGGACTTTGAAGGGTTAACACACACAGTGCAATCCCCATTTAACATTCCTCAATTTAAAATGTTCTCTCATTTAACATTCAATTAGAATAGTGGCAAGTTGAGAATCTCAGTGTCAAATTTCCTCCACTTCAGGTTTCCCTCAGTTCCCACTGATCCCTAAATAAACCTTAAAATTGGAATTTTGCTGTATAACTGTGCCTAATAAAAAAGCAGTCTGCATAATTCTGTGGTGAGAAGGAATACATCCGTCACTCTGTGTTTAAAGGGACATTTTTTCTTATATGGCATAACAGACCAAAGCAATCTGAGATCCCCCATATTTCTCGGTTTCAGAATGCAGTTTTTAGACATCTGACAGGGACAGAAACAAAAAAATAATAATAAACAAAACTAAAGAAGCAAAAAAATCAAGTATACAAGAAATTCAAACTGGATGGGAAGGTTGGTCAGTCACAAGGTCTCTGCCTGGACACGACAACACAAACACAGAAAAACTGTAAACATACATCTAAGTCCTGAGTGAGATCTGAACCCACAATCCCAGCATTCAAGTGGTAGAAGAGAGTACATGTCTTAGACACACAGCTATTGTGATCAGCATTTACACCTGCAGCAAGCAGTCACAACCATGCATACACTGCTAGATGGATGACTTCCAGTCGTCCTGACTTGTGCAACCTGTCTTGAGAAACTTTCTAAATCCAGCGACTACAGGAGGAAAAGAGGAATATGCCATAATTTTATTAAGGGTGTTAAAGAAAATGTGTGGATTTAACACAAATGAAACAAAGGAGAAGAGAAGGTGACATAACAAGAAATGTCAGAATTTCCACTATTCTTTCTTCTAGCAACAGTAAACAGTAAGGATACAACAGGTTGAACATGTAGACTTGGTGAGGAGAAACAAGCAGTAACACATACAAAAAAATCAGACAGCAAAACATCAGAGAAAATTTGCACTTTTAAAGCTGATACTAAATTTCAGGAAATAAGATGTGCCAATGTGAATCAGGGTGGTCCACCCCAGGACAGCGAACCAATGTGAGTGTTTGTTGTCAGCCATAATGAGAACACGCTGACAATGAAACAATACAGAAAATGGCCATTTGTAAGAGCAAGAATACCATTACAAAGTATTTTAGGGAAATAACTTGTAGCAATATGAATTTTGTCCACTTCAGGATAAAAAGCCATACTAAACATTTGTTGTACAGCAGTGAACAGATCACAGGCATCAGAATAAAAGGAGTGCACATATTATTCACAAAAGTACAATACTACAACTAAGGCTGGGGCCACACGAGCACACAAAATGTGTCCGTTCTAACAAACGTACTTTATGACGGACGTTGCTGACAACACCACACAGTTGCAGAATGCGGTGCATAGTTTTTTGTCTGCAATAGAGCCAGAAGAAAGCATAGCATTCGCCTCTTTTGTTTATTTCTACAACAGACGTCACGACGTTCATTACAACGGACGCATTTTGTGCGCTCATGTGGCACCAGCCTAAATCTGCTAACAAATTCAGACACAGCTGAAAATTTCAAGAGAGATGTTTCTGCAACCAAACTTTTAACAAGAGATCTATCATTTGAGATATAATTGTGTACTCCGTTGAAAATCAACCAAGGTTTCCAAAGAACATATCGCCTCCATCTTCAGAATCGAAGAATAAGCCAAGCTTCGTTTGCTACCTGCTTCAAGCCGGTTTCTTGCTTCATGTATTATATCCCTGAAGAGAGAACTCTTTATAACCACTGCTGTGAGAACAGCAAATTCTACATACTTTCAACAGTCTCTAAAACAATTATAATTCAGCAAGGCATCTTTTTACCTGCTACCTAAACGGTTCTCTACTGAATGCCACATAAATGACATTGCAAATGTCCAACCTCGTGTCTGAATGTGTTACAAATTACAAATTCATGCAAAGCAACACCATTACTCCCCTTATTGAACACTAGCAAACATGGATCAGTTTACCTTATACAAGCACAGCCCAGCCTTGCAATGCTTTCTGTTGGCTGCACAACACACTCCACCATTACTAACATCAGCTGTTTCAACATCAGTGTGGCCTGAGGCATGCTGGGAGATTTTGCGCCTGAAAACACATGATTCTTATTTGGAATGTTCTACATTCAACCCCAGTCACATATTGATGCACTACATTCTTTACACAAACCTTCACCTCTGTCAGAGCTTGGATTCTGGGAGAAAAAATTGTTTTTCTAGTAGTTCTGTAGTTGTGTGAAACATGATCTCTTACTCTGGGGGAACGCCATAAATTACAAGCCTGATTTGAAGTTCTCATAGCAGTGGGTATCAAGATTATGGTGTTCAGATGTGACACCACAGGGTTTATTGGAATAATAATACAAAAACAAGCCTCTCTAGTTCAGACGATCAAATGTATGTTTCTAACTGCAGAGCCCAAAGTGTTTCTGTAGGAGATTTTTTAAGTGTCCCTACTCTTCTTACAGCAATTATTGCATGTATCCTTCCTGAGAAGGCCTCGCCATAGCTCAAGCGGTTAGTCACTGGCTTCCCTCCGCGGCGACCCGGGTTCGATCCCGGGTCTGGTCAACTGGGATTTGTGGTGGACAAAGTGGCACTGGGGTAGGTTTTCTCTGAGTACTTCGGTTTCCCCTGCCAATCTTCATTCCACCAAATTCTCCATCATCATAATCACCTGGGGCAGGTACAATAGGCCAAGCAGTGGCCGCTGTGCCGAGCAGACCCAACCGGACTCCACCCCCCACTATGCGAATCCTTCCTGAGGAGTTCAGCACACCATAACAATGAGCATGTTATCACAACCTGGGTCCCCAATTGGGGCTACAATTCTGACCTGGCACATGGCTGGACTCACAGCAAAGAACATTTTATGGGGCACTGAAATCATACACCTATTCTAAATAAGCCTACAGGAATCTAGGTAAAAGATAAAGTTATCCATGTAACGGGCCATGGAGGCCCACAGGGTTGTGAGACATCAAGGTCCCATATTTTCTAAACAATCAGCTAACAGATGGCTGTGAGGTTGTCAGCCTTATGTGCCAGCCTCCCTTTAACCCCCAGAAAGATTCCTGATACTCATTTCTGTTAAGAGGTTGAGTCAACCCCATGGCCATAGTCCAGCTGAAAGGATTAGGTAAATTGAAAAATCCAATGATCTCATCAGGAATCAAACCTGGGACCTTCTGGCTTGTAGCATAGTGCCTCAACCAACTACACTACTACTACACTACTACATGCCCCACAGGAATCTAATAAAACTGAATTTCACAACAATAAAATTAACTGAATAAAGAACAGTATATATTTCACAGAACTGTAAATGTCTGTATTTCTACATATTCTGCGTTATAATTTAACCAGAGACTTTTAATCTGTAAAACCAAACTGCAGCCTCACCTTGCTGCAACTGGGTGAGAAAGTCTACTACAAGGTCGGTAGTGAGACCACAGCACTGCTTAAAGTTGGGCGCAAAGTTGTCCCAACCACGGAAGATGCGGCTAGTTTTGCGTAGCCAGTTTTGTACCATAGGCAGCAACAGGTGGTTGACGCAGTATAAGGCAAACTCCGGACCTGATAACACAAGCATTAACTTACTTCAATCAGACATATTAATGTTTAAAATTGTGTGTTAAAGGAACAAATGCATATACAATATTAATGGAAAAACCTCATGGAATGAAGCTGCTTCAAAAACTGGGGAATAAATTGAAGAATAATGTAACACAATCAGACCTGGTGTCATTATGAAAGCATTAACTGTAAAGTACAGAGAAGGCCAGGCTGGAGAGAGAGAATTACCATGCAGGTCTGAATATGTCAAAATTTTTCTATCACCTACTAACATTATTTCATAACTGCTAAACATAGGACATTACAGTGAAATCCTTATTTGACAATTTTAAAGCCCAGTGGTTACTATACGTACCACCTGCTTTAACGTAGCAGAACTCTGCATTCTTCCCATACAGAGTATTTAAACATTTCCTATGATTCTCATAATAAAAAACCACTGTTTCCATAAAGCGCATTAACCGGCTGTCTTTGTAGCAAAGACATAATGTGCTTCCTGTGAGGTATGAATTGAATTTTTGTATACGATTTAGAAGAGATTCAGTTTTTAAAGGGTTAATGAATCTCCAAATTGTCCAGACCGCCTCCAAGGCCCATCCAGCCTATTTAGTGGATACTGGGGGAGGGGGGGTTAATTAATTTAATTAATTACGCACATGGACAACTTAACCTTTTAACTTTACCTCAAGGAATGGCTTTTCTTACACTAAATCAAGATTTTTACTAAAGATAGGTTAAGCAGAATAAGAAACTGTTTCTGTACAAACAAACACAATTATGCAATCAGTAACTTCAAACTAATTTCTAAAATAATTAATGACATATGAAATCAACAATGAAAGAACCCTTAGTCAAGAATCAAAGGTACTGTGATGCCACAAGTTGTGAGGCTTCTGTGCATGTTAAATATGTGACATTACTCACCAGACATTATGGTTGTGTGTAACAATTCCCAGCAAGAGAAAATATTAATACTGACATGTCACACTAAACCAAGAACAAGCACTGGAAGGTCAAAATTCACTAAAATTGGAAAATCATACACTGTTTACGCTGGGCTTTGATTAAGACTAGAAAAAACATCCATTAAATACAGGATTTCACTAAACGTGACAACACTACATCAGGATTTCACTGTACAGTAAACCCTTGCTAATTCAGAGTAATTGGGGAGGGGGAGATCATCCGGCTTAAGCGATATTCTGATTAGTGAGGCAAAAGACAGCCCTTTAAGACAAAAAAACTTAGAAAACAAATACATGAAAAAATTAATAATATTGGTAGTGCTGCTGAAAATAAAGGAAAAAAATGTCACTGTAGCAATTTCTTCCTCTGTCAAAAGCTGAAATCCAGTGTCTCAGTCATCCAGCTAAAGCCAATCTTGGATATTGTCTTGTGTGGTTTCAGTCTCTCCAGCTGCCCTCAACACAGCCTGAAAGTCCTCTTGCTCATAAATCCCATGTGTCTTTTTCAAAGTATGTACTCAACTGTGAATTGAATTTTTTTTTCTTCTTCTATCTGACATCTGGATTGACCATAACTGGATTACCGAGTGTTTACTATAGTTTGAAGTCATTATTACCAACCTGGCACATGTATGAGATCTCTAAGGAGCTGAAACAGCGTGTCGAGAGTGTGGGGTTGGAACTTGTGAGGACACGTCACAGTAGCACTAGCCAATCCCTCCAACAACAAGAACCACACACGTAAGACACCACTGGGCTGGTCCAAGGCATCCAATGAATACATATCAGTTGGCAAAGGCCACAATGGTCTATACATTACATCATTTGTCTCAAAGTCCTCGTCATCGCCATCAAATCGAACCACTTCCATGTTTGGCAGCACGGCATCCACTTGCTGCGGGCAGTTATTCAGCTGAATCCTGAAATAACAAAGTCAAAAAATCAACTCATGTAAGACATTGTGCTTACAAAAGCTAATAAGTAATTATGGTTGAAAACTTAATTAATTCTACAAATATGACATACTCTAGGTTTAGGGCAATTCAGAAATCCCATCAGCAGACAAAACCACAGTTCATTCATAGACAAAACAATATGCTTCCTGCCATTTCCCCACGTTCTTATACTGTCCTGGTACTTCGAACGGTAATTACACCCTAATAAATGTCAGGGTCACTATATCATATCATTAGCTAAAACTTTCAAAATGCATGTGAGGATAAAAATGTTAACATTTTTACTGCACAGAGATATTGGATTCAGGTCTCTCACCTGAGGACGGAAACAGATCCAGTTTCCAAAATGTTGTGTTTTTCTTAGTTATCTTAACACTTTGCGGACCGCGCACCGTTTAAAAGGTTTTTCGCTTTTAAACATGGCAGACCGTTGGCGTGTTAACAGGCTTTTAAAACACGATAAGTTGCAACACACTATACCTCTCTCTGGCCCCACCTAGCTAGCACGTAGCTGCTTGCAGTTGCGTTATAAGGCTCTGGAATGTCTGCTGACCAATCAGTTACTAGACCTCGCTGTTAACTCTATGCCCCTGCAAAGGAAAATAAATTCCTTTATTTCTTCAAGCTTTACGTAGCAAGCTGTCAGTCAGTAGTTCAATATGGATCAAAGACCAAAGCGGTTGACACCGAAGCGATTTCTTGGAGAACAAGAAATATCTGACTTTTTCTCCGATGAGCTATCTGACATCCCTTGTGAGTCTGCTAGTGATAGCGACTCACAATCTGATAGTGAGTGTGGCAGGGGCGAACAACAAATTGTGACCACATGCAGTGAAAGTGAAAGTGACCGTAGCTCCAACGAATGTGCGGGTAGCAACATTGCGGGGAGAGCCACATGGGGAAAAGTAGATAAAACGCCTGTTTGGGACAGTTTACTGGAAATCCAGGGGTGAAGCAAATTCCATCAGACCCAACGCCAGTGTCTGAAGTAGCGGAACTGTTTTTTGGAGATGTGGATACTCGTGTTGTGAATATGATTTCCACAATTCACAATTCGAGCATGGTTGATGTTCAAAGGAGACATGGACAGGTAAAGAAGCCTGTTTGTATTTCCAAGTATAACATGTTCATGAAGGGAGTTGATAGAGCCAATCAGTACTTGTCCTATTATTCTCTTCCTCGGAAAAGAGTAAATTGGACAAAGAAAGTTGCCTTGTGGCTTATAAATTGTGCCATTTTCAATTCATTTTTGGTTTTCAAAAATCTAAACCCTCATTCAAAATTGAAATACAAGGCATTTCTGCTGAATGTGGCAAAAGCCTGGGCTACAGACCACACGGTGGCAGCAGAACCGGCGGCAGACAGTCTTAGTACGACCGGGGCCGTCTACTCCCACCCCACACAGGCCTCATTTTGACCCTCCTGGGCGACTCTCGGATGATATGCAGAAACATACCCTCGCGAAAATTGTGAAGAGTGAACATTTCAAGGGGAAGCAGCCTTCTAGGCAAAGCTGTGTTTGCGCAATTCACAAGAAAAGGAGTAGGACTGCCTATATTTGCAAGTTTTGTGTAATGCCACTTCACAGAGGGGAATGTTTCGAGAAATATCACACCCTCAAGCACTTCTAGAAGCATTGGTAAGTGTTCTCAAAAAAATTTTAGTTCATAAAATTAATTACGAGATTTCATATTAATTTTTAAAGTGAACAGTGCATAAGTTAGGGTAGTAGGTATAAAAATGCCGGTCCGCACGGTGATTTAAATATTTAAATTGCCGGTCCGCAAAGCGTTAAAAACCAGGACGATGGATAAAGTCTGAAAATCCAATATCTCTGTGTGTTATACACCATCGTCAGAATCCTATAGTAACTATTTTTACTGCAGTTACCAAAACTCTACATTCAACTACATGAACTGTCTTCTATTTGATTATGAATGATAATAATACAGTGTACCACTGGACACATTACTAACCTAGCTACATTCATCTCGAATCCTCAGAACCCATCTTCCATCCACCTCAACAGTGTCCTCTATCTCACTTTACTCTTCAAAGTGACTGTTTTTAAATAGGTTTTCCAACTAAAACTCTCTATATGCGTATATTCCTCGTCTCCCCATCCAAGCTACATGTCCAATTGTCCATGTCAAATTGCCCATATTTCATTACAAAAAAAAAGAAAGTTCTGTACTTGTCATTTGAAATTCACCAACTATGTGAGAGAATTGCATGTATCAAGATGCATTATTGCACTGTTAGGAATTTACAGCAAGCACTCCTAGAAAAAAAAATCCATGAAAACAAAGAACAGGATTACAGCAATTAAAAATTGTTCATGTCATGTGCTATGGAGAAAATGAAGGCTAAGAAGCTATCAGTACTGACATATCAAAGAGATTAGCACTTACCTATGAGCTGTGTGAAACATGGGACAGGCTGGCATGCTGTACATAGAAGCAAGGATACCAGAACAGCGAGTGAGGAACTTCAGCGCGGCTATGCACAGTTCCAGTGATGGGTCTGAATCAGAGCCGTCACAGCCAGAGGGTTCACTGCCGCCAGGAGGCACATCTTCAAGTTCGCCTGTAGGATGTCATTGTTATATATTCTGTGTACAGTGCTACCATCAATATACTACTGTGTAGCCTGGTAGAAGTTTTCCACCACTGCAGAGGAACATACTGCCCCTACCTTCAGGGTCTGCTTTGTACCTGATTCTTGTTGGCTTCTTGCTTAGCTTGCTCTTCAGCCCCGAAGATGGAGGTGATATTATGTCTCTCTAAAGCTTCAGCTATCTTTTACTGGACAACATAATATTACATAACAACAGATATAATGCTTCACAGTTATCAAACCTTTAAGCAATGTTTTTTTTAATGCTAGTGGGGTGGGACTAAGTCCCTTGTACTGCGGCCATTTCTAGCCTATTGTACCAGCCCCAGATGATAGGTGAGGGTGATTGTGGAGCAATTGGTGGAACGAAGATTTGCACGGGAAACAGAAGTACTCGAAAAAACCTGCCCCAGCGCCACCTTGTCCACCACAAATCCCACTTGACCAGACCCGGGATCAAACCTGGGTCGCCATGATGGGAAGCCAGTGACTAACTGCTTGAGCTATGGTGCGGCCTTTTTAAGCAGTTACTACAGTCACAAACATGCTCCAACAAATTTCTGCAGTATACCAGGCACCCAAAAACAGAATTTTGTGGTCAACTGCCATAAAAAACTGAACCAAACTTCTTTTGTATTTGGATTTTAAGAAATGCTTAGTAAATTCTACAACAAGTTGTAAACAGGTTAAACTTACTGGGGCCACGAACATGCTTTAGCAAGCATAGGATACAGTCAACAGCAGCATTGGAGAACACAAGTAGATTGTCTGTATCTAGGAACACCTCAAAGACATCCAGTAAAGCATGTAAATGGCTACTGCTGGTTTCATCTTGAGAATGACTGCTTGACAGCTTCACAACACGCAGTGCTCCAAATAAGGGCCGCCAGCCAGATCGAATTTCTGTTCTATTTGCTTCAACAAATTCGCAGATGCAGCTTATAATCTGAAAGGAAAGGGTAAAGACTTACCTATTTTCAGTTATTTAATCATGCTGTTTCAACCGTGCTGCTGAATAAGACACAGATGATCATGAATGCTATGATATGAAATAAGCACCATTTCAGTTTCAGAACAAGATGGCTCTACAGCACATTACAGGCTTCTAATTTTATTTATTATTTATTTGTTACATTTTTTTAGGGTGGAGTGAAACTGAGTCCCTTGGTACTTACACACGACAAACAGACCTTTGTACCAGCCTCAGAAGATATACAAAAGAAATGGAGCATTTGGTTGGATGACAACCGGCAGAGGTAACAGAGGTATTTGGAGAAAACCAGCCCTAGCACCACTATGTCCACCACAAATTCCACATGAACTGACCTGGGGTTGAACCCAGGTCTCGGCTGTGAGAAGCCAGCAACTAACTACTGGAGCAATGGCACAGCACATATCGCCTACCTACTGCTACTGTAGTCGTTCAGCATCATCAGTAGTCAGAATTTTGAGATCTTTATACACCAAACTTTCATGTCACAATTAACTAACCTGGTCCTGTACATCAACATCACATAGTTCCAAGCAGAGCAGGTTTTCAAATGGTTTGAACAATGCCTCATTGAAGTGAAAGTGGGGCAACTCTGCCTGCTCATTTAGCACCGCTGTAACTGTATCATGAATACAGGCCACCGCCTTCTTCGAGACTGCACGCTCCTTGTGGCAAGCCGCCTGTAAAACAAGATCAGGATCATGAACACAGAATTTTCAGAATACATCATTAAAAGGGCTTACAGAGAGACAAAGCTATAGACAGGAAGTAGGTTTGGTTTCTTAATTTACTGATTCACTGATTCTCAGAATACTTAATTATGCTGTATCTACTGCAGAAGTTACACAGCAGTGATGGGAATGCGAACATGATCATGAACCGTGAGTAGGTATGATAGGGTATGTTTGTTTCATTTCAGATCTTACCTACTTATGATTCATGAGCATCTTCCATCCCCTTCACTGCCATGTAACTTCTGCAGCAGTAAAGTAAAAAAGGTAAAGCTATCCCTGTAACAGGACGTGAAGGCCCATAAGGTTGTGAGACATTGAGGGTCCCACATTATTTTGACAATCAGCACAAAGATGGCGGTAAGGTTGTCAGCCTTACACACTGACCGCGCTCTACTCCCCCAGGGAATTTATTTAATTCCTGGTACTAATTTCTGTTAGAGGCTGAGTTGACCCCAGGGCCATAGTGCTGCTGGTAGAATTAGGTCAATTGAAAGAAAATCCAATGACCTCACCGGGATTTGAACCCATGACTTTCCAGCTTGTAGCATAGTGCCTCAACCAACTATGCTACCACGTGCCCCCTTTCTGCAGTAGAGACAGCATAATTAAGTATTCTGAGAATCGTGAGTAGGTAAGATCTGAAATGAAAAGAACATGTCCTACCTTCAGGTACCATCCCAACACTTAGGCCATGCCATAGCTCAAGCGGTTAATCGCTGGCTTCCCATCACAACGGCCCAGGTTCAATCCTGGGTCTGGTCAAGTGGGATTTGTGGTGGACAAAGTGGCGCTGGGGCAGGTTTTCTCCAAGTACTTCGGTTTCCCCTGCCAACCTTCATTCCACCAACTGCTCTACAATCACCCTCACCTATCATCTGGGGCTGGTACAATAGGCTAGAAGTGGCCGCAGTACAGGGGACTTAGTCCCACTCCACTAGCAATAAAAAAAATCCCAACATTTACCTGGGAAGACTAAGGAAACCCACAAAACCTCATTCATAACAGCTGGTAACTCAACAATGATTCAAACCAGATACCTCCTTAATGTGCACCTATAGCCACATTAACCTGTTTTAAAGGTCACATAGCAGTGAATGGGAAATAACAAGATCTTAAAATTATCTGAGAAAATTATCAGGGAAAACAATAATGACTGATTTAGGGGAAACTTTCCTATAAGAACTTCAGAAAACTATGTTTTTTTAATTTAATCTTGATTTATATAACAAATTTTCAATAACTAAGATTATACTTGTATTAGAGTTAATAACTGAACAGTTAGCAAACTACAAACTGGAATGGATTTGGAAATTGTCACAGCCTACTTTCAGGTTCTAGCTCACCATCTGTCTGGAGAAATGGAGGGAAAACCCACAAAATACCTGGCATGATAGTCAGTCTCCAGGCCGAGATGGGAACCTAGGCCTCCCAAACACAACACAATGTTAAATGAAAATCACAATCAATTTCATTCAGGCAGGCTTCACACCAGATACTTTAAAAATACACAGCACAAACACTAACCAGCACACCATGACTGATAACCGATGAGAGAATTTTATTAAAACTGATCTTGGGGAACTACTTCACAAGCATGTGCATTTGTGGTGCAGTGATGATACATCAATTTTTTTTGGAGGGGGGGGGGAAGGATTTTTTGAACAGGAAAGTGCAAATGCAAGCACATGCACAAAACACATATTTAATGTGCCACAAGACTGTGACCTGATAAAATCACCTCAAGCAATTAACAGTGCCAATTTAGAACTGAACTTATGTGACTGATTGCAAAAGAATATTTTGTCAGTCTTATGTTTTTTAATTTGCTTAGTGGGGGTGGAGTGCAACTGGGTCCACTCAGCACGGCGGCCACTGACTGGCCTACTGTAGGCTGCCCCAGGTGATTATGATGATAGAGAATGAAGACTGGCCGCCGCAGTGGGAAGCCAGTGACTAATTTTTTTTTTAAATGCTAGTGGGTTGGGACTAAGTCCCTTGTACTACGGCCACTTCTGGCCTATTGTACCAGCTCCAGGTGATAGGTGAGGGCGATTGTGGAGCAATTGGTGGAATGAAGATTGGCAGGGGAAACCGAAGTACTCGGAGAAAACCTGCCCTGCCACCACTTTGTCCACCACAAATTCCACTTGACCAGACCCGAGATCGAACCCGGGCCACCATGGTGGGAAGCCAGCGACTAACCGCTTGAGCTATGGCGCGGCCACTTTTGTCAGTCTTAGTGAAAGCCTAAATTCTTACAAAATAGTGTACCCACACATGTATGTGACGTCAACAGAAACGGCTACACGTTACCTCCATGAGGTGAGGTCCAACAACTGACCAAGCTCTCATCACATGAATAAGAGGACGACCACTGCGAACAGTTTTCAGCATCACATCACCAACCCGATGTAACAGCAGCAACTGGAAGTCTCCTGACAGAGATCCAGTACTGCCTCTGGGGGACTGAGCTCGTCGTGGCCACCACAGCTTCCCTGATCCAGGAGTACCAGAAGATCCTGCATGCTGCGAAAGTGTAGAGAACAACTGCACCTGTGATGCTGCAACCAGTGCTGCTAGGAAACTAGTCTGGGCTTTCAGATTCAACTTCAGCGCAGCATCATCAAAGAGCCTAAACAGCCACAAATATACATACAGTGGTCAAAGAATTTGTCAGATTTGGCCTCAAGAAGTCCACACAAAAAACAAAAATAATGTATATCTGGTAGTGCAGTTCTACTGTGAGCGTGGATTCAGGTGGAAGAATCAAATGCTCTCCCTGATCAACATGTAAATTGTAAGATTAAAGATTTTCATGGTGGTGACTATGAGGAATGACCTCTTCTGAGGTGCGGCACTCTGCAGATCTTGTGTGAACCGACGTTTCAAAGGAACGTATCGCCTCTATCTTCTGCAGCCACCTGCCCATGCTGGTTCCTCACTTGCACATTTTCCTACCCTGAAGATGGAGTCGATATGTTCCTCCGAAACGTCGGTTCACACAAGATTTACATGGCACCACATCCCAGAAGACAGTATCCAACATGTAAATTCATTCCAAAGCTCCATTATATTAAAAAAAACTCACTGGAATCCAAAGTTCAACACATCTAATACCAATGCCTGCTACAGTTTCATCTACCTTCCATCCTCAGAATGTGTGACCTGTAAAAACAATGAACTTTCCAGTCATTTAATATTCTACATTGCCCACATTCTTCATGCTGCTTTAGGACCAACAATCTCCTGAGCAAATTGCTTTAAACACTCACATATATACATTTTTCCCTCAAACTAAGAAACCACATTTTACAACTATACAAAACAATGGATAAATTAATGTTTTATATATATATATATTGTAACGTGTCGGCAAACCAGAGGAGTAACTGCTATGGAAACGCTAGAATAGACCGTTACAGAGGAGACAACAATTGCTCCATTGTAGTTCTAACAGGAGTCTCCATGGTTATAACAGATGGTTCATTGCCTAACAGCGGCCAAGGTTATAAAAGCCCAGTTTCGACGAGAAGTCTTCAGTCTTCATCGAGCCAGCTAAGAAGCCAGCCGTGATCAAGCCTCCGGAGAAGAAAGTCTCGGATCAGCATTCGGAGAAGAGAGTCCAGTGTCTCGCCGNAGCAAATTTATAAACAGGCAGAATGATAACAATGGTTGAACTGAACAGTAACATTCATTTCCTGAATTTATTCTTCATCTTATTTAAACACAGTAACCACTAATCTGTTCAGTCACTATCATATTGCGTAGCATGAAACACAATATCAGTTCAGGAGCATTCCAGAGGTACCCAGTTTGAACATCAGATAAGACACAAACTTATCCTGACTCAATTTTCCAGCCAGATGGAGGTGTGGTCAGCTTCATCCTCCAGCCACTTTACCCCCAGGGGAAAAGCCCTCAGTACCCACTGGACAGGAGGCTCGGTGGACCCCAGAGCTTGTCTAGATGCTGTGGAGGAGAGAAAAATCTATTCCCTCTGCCAAAAACAGAATCTTGATTCATCAGACATCCAACCCATAGCCTGCTGCTATACTGACTGAGCTATCCCATCAACTTTCCAAAATAAGGTCATGCACTGAAAATAATGGTGATTAATTCACTAACTAATCAAAATTACTGATCAGTGAAACACACAAATTCATTAACTGCAACATCCCTGGTTAATATCTTACACCTTTAAAGACTGATATTCTTCTAAATAATATATAAAAATTCAGTTTGTACCTCGTAGAAAATATACTACATCTCCACTCCGCAGATCAACCAGTTAATGCTGCTTAGAGAAATAATCAATGTTTATTGTGAGAATCATATCAAACAGACATATACACTTGGTGGGCATAATGCAGAGAGTCCATGATAGCAACCACTGGGCTTTAAAGGGTTAATCAGAGGAACACAGTTGACAGCAACGCAGAAGGGGCACATGGAACCTTACCAAACCTCACTTACCTATCAACTTGCTGTGACAGTACACAGCTCACCCTAGCTGCATACTGATAACTCAACACCCCCTGTGATGTGATATCTGCATTGCTCTCCTGAATCAGATCTGTGATGTTTCCAGAACTTGCCACAGGCGCACTGGGAGCTGCCAAGAAGCTGTACACATCAACACTGAAAATATTAACATAACATTAAGGACAACAAAGTTACATCAAATAAGTTTCCTACAATGAATATAATACCATGATGCTCGTATCACTAGAGCACACTAAAATGCTTTCAGACCTTGAACGTTTACAATTTTAAAGGTTAGAATGTCATTTATTCCTAGTCACATGATAAGAACCAGGTATGTGAAACTTGCATCACACGAACATGATAATTTTTTCTTTCAGTCTTTCCAAGCTGGAAGTGAAAGAGACAGAACAATGGACAAAGAAGGTTAGACGCTAACCTGACTGGAGATTTATTTCCTCAGTTTCCCTTAGTATGTCCCTAAGACAGTATCATAAACCTTTCACTGCCAATTTTTTTTTAAATACTGACAAGACATCATCGCCAAATTATTTTATTCATACGTACTAACACCAACATTTCAACTGTAGAATTCCATGCAATATTCTCAACTTCACCCACTTCATGTTCTCTGGGTGCAGTGCTAGAATTCACACTTCCAGAAAGCATGACCATATGTGAGGATGGAGTGAAAAACCAAGCTCAAATAAAGTGGAAATTACTTAATATTCACAGGGAAGACCACACTACAGCTGAGAAATGACTATATTCAAGTCTCACACAGAGGGCCCTCATGCCTGGGCAAAATGCAAAACCATATTCAGGACTAGAAATGAAGAGGTTTAGAACAGGTCAAGATGACCTTCTACACCAGTATTCTCCCACCATTTATAAGCATTCTCCCATTCCATTCCAACACCATATAACATTTGCCACTGAGACTGTGTTATGAGTGCTGCTTTCTGATATGTGATGCCACACAGTCATGTAAACAGCCATCAACAATTTAGAACAGCTTGGTGCATCCATCCTCATAGCAAAGAGTGTGAAGGTGAAAGAAGCAAAATTTCTCCAAGACACTAGTAATCATCTACCAAAGTGCACACTGTTCACATCCTAGAAAACAGCAATCTTCAAGGCCACTATCAAGAGCACCTCAACTCCCACACAGTGTCATTAAATAACCACTTACCAGGTCTCCTCATCATCCTGGGCTAAGAAACTTGGTCTTTCCATATTTAAATTTTTATCGCTGTTTGAAGCTGACTGCTTTATAGCCAGTTTTGGACCCAAATTCCTGTTTTGTGACTGGCTAAAGAAGCCATGCTCCAATTTGCTAACATAAACACAACATCTGAAACAAATAATTCATAATCAAGAACAGAAACTAAATGTCAATTCATTGGATTTCTGAACATCTGCTCTACAGGCAATCACATTACTAACTTGGAGCTTATGTTTCCTGTACAGAATCCTAACCAACCTAAACACATGGGTCCAACAATCTGGGCTGTGGCTACCAAGCTCCAGTCCTCGGCCCAACAGGACATCCATACTGAGAGCATGCGAAGTGTGGAGCCTGTGTTGTTTCTGCAGCAACTTGAGCATGCCACGAGGTCGTCCCAATCTGCGTCTACCAGGGGACTCCCCTCTACCACCAGTACTGTGATCTGGACAGGCTGCTGCCGCAAGCAGGGAGAACACACTACCGCATCGATTCTGCAATCCTGCCAACATGAACATAATCACATTCTGACCTTGGAAGTTCTTCTAGAGATACTACAATAAAGGAGTACCTAGGAAAGTTTTGTGACAAGAAGTTGAGCCAGAAGTTGTAACAGATAAGAATACATATTATTATTATTATTATTATTAGTAGTAGTAGTAGTAGTAGTACTATTATTATTATTAGAGGGGGTGGGTTTCCCCATGCACTTAGACCAGTTATTGGTCCATTGTGCATCCCCCTTTAATTTCTACTGTCGCCATACCTTACCGTTACTGGTGCGTGCTATCAGCCCCGTTCAGCCAATGAGGTTGGCCGTCGGTACCTGATATTTCCCCCATCTACCAGAGGCATTGGAAACTACTTGGGTGGGAAACTGTTGCCTAATTTTGCTCAGAGGTCTCCTAGAGACCTAGAGGATCTTTTACATGCCGTAAATCTACGACATGGGACCCACGGCTTAAAGTCCCTCCTGGAGGACTTGTTCCCTGAATTTTTCCGCCGGGTTTGAACCCGCGTACCTTGAGTCATGAGGTGGGAACCTTACCCCTAGACTACGGAGGCCACTTAAGAATACATAACTACCAAATAAAATTTCTTACTGCTACTAGTTGCTGGTACTGCTCCACATTCATTAATTGTCTTATCATCAGCACTACATTGCCTTGATACTGACAGCATCCATAATCAACCAACTTCAAAAAATATATTTAAAAAAATTAGCCAAACTAAATCTAGTCCACATCCTCACACCTTACTTCCTCAGTATTCTCAGCTTTCCCATGCATGCTACATGACTTTCCTATATCCTCCTTTGCATCCCTACTACAAAGAGCTCACGCAGTTAGTTGCCAGCTTCCCATCACAGTTGCCTGGGTTCAATTACAGGTCAGGTCACATGGAATTTGTGATGGACAAAGTGGCAGTTGGACAGGTTTTCTCCAAGCACTTCTCCCACCCCAGGTCAATTCTCATTCCACCAACTGCTCCACATTCAATGACCACCCTGCCACTGACTGCATTGGACTCAATACTGACAGCATCGTTAAATTACCAACTCAAAAAACTAAACAGAAAATATTTAACTCCATGAAAATCTAGAATAAATTTACCAGAAACGGCCAAGGAATAATAGCAAAATGAATACTTGGTCCCCTCAGTGAACTGTACCTAGAATATTGCTGAGGCGGGCAGCCTTCTGAAGACCTTCAAGACTCGCCACAATACTTTCCCTTGCCCTGCGATGTTCCTCTCGAGCAACTTCTGACCCTAGCAACAGTGCCAAGCTAGATGTGACACCCAGCTGACCTCTGAGGTCACCTAGGCCAGCCGAGAGAACCGAAAGCATTGAGTCCCAGCAGCAGCTCAAGACACGACGAGACAGCTTCACACCTGGACAATGAAACACACATACACTAAGAGACAGATTCTATAATGTCAGTGTGTCATAAAAACTGTCTGAAGTGTCCTTCTGTGACTTGAATGTACATCTGAGCATGGCACATTACTGAAACCGTTGGCAACAACATACTCAATCATGCATCAAGTAAGAGGCAGACAATTTCAACAGTTTCTGTAACATGTTTCATTTCTATATAAAACTGATTTCAATTCTACATTTGAATTATTGTAAAAATGTTCATTAAAAACCCTCTGACTTCTCTAACTTTCAAAATTTTATCTATGTTATTGGACTTCTTCTTAATCAAAGTCAATTAATTAATATCCCAGTATGAACAAACTTTAACCCGTTGCCGTGGTTCGTCGTGTATGTTTCGTCAGGGATTTAAATCGTCTGGGGGGGTTCGACGTGTATGTTTCGTCCAGCTGCACACGTATGTTATAACGCCCATAATAATTGATGGTTTTGCTGTAGATTGTTAGATTTTTCACTGGCCTGTTGTCAGGAGGACTGTATTTAATGACACACGCGTTTAAGAGCGCTAAGTCGTCGTTACATATGCCTGTCTTGCAGCAACGTTCCTGTGGCTATTGCGAGCTGTTTCTGTTATGAATGATGTGTTTTCTTTGCTCCGAAGCTATAAACACCAGAGACTGATATGTGCTGGTGTTTATAATATCATATTGCCCTGAGCTGGCTATTCAATTGGAATTCTTAGAAGAGGGATGTACAAAAGTTTATGCCTGCAAAATCGATTGCTTTCGCACAGTACATAGCACCCATTTCTTAGAAAAACGCCACAATTTAAGGCAGAACACTGTG